CTCCCAGGTCTGTCACTGCTGGTGTCCGTCCTTTTCCGCAGGCAATGCAGCATTTCTATTCATTTGTCTCCCAGGTCTGTCACTGCTGGTGTCCGCCCTTTTCCATCGGCCACGCAGCATTTCTATTCATTAGTCTCCCAGGTCTGTCACTGTTGGTGTCCGCCCTTTTTTGCTGGCGATGCAACATTTCTATTCATTTTTCCAGGTCTGTCACTGCTGGTGTCCGCCCTTTTCCGCTGGCCATGCAGCATGTCTATTCATTTGTTTCCCGGGTCTGTGACTGGTGCTGCCGCCCTTTTCCGCTGGCCATGTAGCATTTCTATTCATTTGTCTCCCATGTGATTTCTTTCTTTTTGTCTTTCAGGTTTGGTGCCTGCACTGCTGTTTTCTGCCCTGTCCGCTGGAACAGGTTCACCTGTGAAAGGTTCTTGCTCCTTTGCAAGGGGTGCGTGACTGTCTCCGGGATTGCGTTCCTGCCACACTGTGCAACTCTCCTTTTCGGGCAAGCGTTGGATGAATGACCGGATTGGATTTCGGTGGTGACGGTCCTGTCCTCTCGAAAGCCGGCTTGGTGACAATCCTGCAGTGGTCAGCTACTCACAATCCTGACCTAGTCAATGGCGACTGCAAGTCCGCCTTTCTTCAAGGACAACCTGACCGAGAGCGACCACGCGCCATCTACATGCGCATCCCGCAGGACGACATTTCCCTGCAGGCTGTTCCTGAGTGGTCCAACAACAAGAACCTCCTGTATGAGCTGCACGCTCCTGTGTACGGGCAGGCCAATGCACCACGACAGTGGTACCTCCACGTCTTGGACACCTTGCTCAAGTTAGGCTGGATTCGACACAGCCTCGACCCGTGCCTCTTCCTCTACAAGAACGACGACAATGCGGTCGTTGCATTGCTCATCCACGTCGATGACATCATCGCCAGCACCATCAGCAACGATGAGACCATCCTCCAAAATGTGGAGAAGTTTTGCTTGGGGCAGCGCCTGGGAAAAGAATAACTTCGTCTTCATCGGAAGAAGGATCACGAAAGATGAGCATGGCACCATCGTGATCTCCCAGTCGCACTATGCCACAGAGGTGATGATCGCCAAGGATCGTGAAGATCCAGAGACAAAGCTGGACAAGGACTCCTTGCACATGTCAGACTTCCGCTCCGCCATAGGCAGCCTTCAGTGGCTATCTGGCACCTCTCGGCCAGACATCGCGGCCGATGCAAGTTTGCTTCAGCGAGCAGTTGGTGACCTCACCCATGGCGACCTCCAGCAGGCCAACCAGGTGCTGAAGTATGTGAAGGCCACGGCCGACGCTGTGATCAAGATCCGACTTGTCCCCTTCCTTCGTTGGAAGGCAACGATGCAGCATCGCTTCTTTGACGGTCCTTTCGCCATCAGCGGGTGCTTCGCTCTACCTTGGCGGTGGAAGCGGCCAGCTTGGATAGGTGTGAAGATGAAGGCAACTACCTCGGTTGCATGCTTGGTGAAGTGATCACCCCGCACTACATAGCTGCTCACTCAGGCAAGTCACCAATACCCATCCACCCGGCGACGGACGCTCGATCCTTGTTTGACGCGGTCCACCGGCTTGCCACGTCGTTCTCTGAGAAACGCGTCGAAATCGACGTCGCTGGGCTGAGAGACACCTGTAGGATCCCCACTGAGAAAATGATCGCAGACGGACTAACCAAGCGCAACAAGACGCTCCGCGATCAGTTGAGGATTTGGGCTGGTGACCCATGTCAGCCTCGAAGAGGCACATCTCCCGGAGGCAGATTTGTTTGATGGCGGTCCATTGAGACGCAAGCCAAAACAGAATAGCACCAGTGAAAACTCGACGATTCGTGAAGGGTCATAGCTTGTTGGCATTGTGTCTTCTTGCACCGCACACCTCAAGGGAGGGACCGAGCTCGGCGGCATAAAGGGTGCGCGCCGTGAGATCCAGGGACTTGGAGGCTTGGAGGTTTCCAGGCTCCACGATCGCACAGGTGACCAGGTGCTTTTTTTGTTTCTGGACAGGTGAGACTGATACGATTTTTGTTAAAAACCTTTTGTTCTCTCCTCGAACCCTTAATGCAAACCCAAGATGAAAGCTAGGTGACCAGAACCTATTTTCAAGAAGGCAAAGAAAAGTTTAAACACAAGTTGCGCGAAAACACAACAAAACTGCGAAGAACTGACTTTTGGGACCAAAATTCATAGATCTGGATCGTTGTGAGCCGGATTCAGAGGAGGTGGCGGCTACCTGGGATGACCTAGCCGACCGTCAGGCCATCCCAACCAATTTGGACAGGCCTGCAGCTTTTTGGTGGCTTGTTGAAAGTGGTCGAGCAAGAGTGGATCTCTGGATCCCCTTTCTGCGGGACCTACGGCAATTTCACCTGGCTTGGGGAGCAACAGGCGGCTTCCACGGATTACGCTGCAAAGTTGGTGGAGGCACCAAGGCCCCTTGATGACGAAGACTTCATGCCAATTAGTTTCGTGCTGTGCTGGGGAGGACTTTGTGATCCCCTACAGGTTTGCGGGAACTGAGCAACTCGTTGCTCCACGGCGGCTTTTCAATCGACCTAATTACCTTGGCTAGGATGATCCACGCGGTTGGTTTGTGACTTTTTTGATTTTGGTTCCTGTTGATTCGATTGACTCGACAACCCCGATTGGAAAGCCAGATCGCCATGCCTTGTGAAGGGTAATTGTCATCAGGCCCCCGCTTGATGCGCGGTGTCGATTGCGCGAATTGACACTGGCCTTTTTTGTTGGCCGCAGCGTTCGCAAGACAGCGGATCTTGCACCCCCGCTAGCTAGGAATCGCTGCTAAGTGGGATGGCCACAACGGCCTGACCCGGCGGTTGGATCCGGCGTGAAGCCTCAGGACCTTTCGGCGCAGCACTGCTTCGCTGTGCTCGTCCGCGATAAAGGAAGGATAAGGAAGGACACAACCGAGCATTAGACATGCACTGCAGATATGCAGACTTCAGAGAAGATATGACAGAGGAGGTTGTCAGCATGAAAAAGTAACACATATGATGGAAACGATCTAAAAGAGGAACAGGAGGTGAACCTATATATATACATATATAGGTCATACATTGCGCAAATGTGTGGGTTTAGATTCGCGCACACATATGCATAGAACCTTCCTAGTGGAACAATTTTTTGGGGCAGACATCCTACATCATCCTACGGCACTACTTTTCACCACCGGGGGCTTGAAGGTGGTATATCCAACAAACCTGAAGCCAAGCACTTGAAATGCACAAAGGAAAAGGCAAGCCCAGGAAGCAAGAAAAACAGAGAAAAGGCAAAAAAAGAGAAGGTGCGAAAAAGTATATAAAGGACAGGTGGGACTGATACGATTTTTGTTAAAACCTTTTGTTCCCTCCTCCAGCCCTTATTGCAAACCCAAGATGAAAGACCGTGACTAGGTGACCAGAACCTATTTTCAAGAAGGCAAAGAAAAGTTTAAACACAAATTGCACGAAAACACAACAAAACTGCGAAGAACTGACAAGGAACCTTCGTTCGCCTTCAATCTGCCTTTTGTTACTCTACCTCTACCTCTTTTGATTCCTTCAATCTGCCTTCAGTTTGGTTTGGCTCAGTTTGTCGCTTATTTTTCCGAACCCTTCAACCGTTTTTCCCTACTTTCTTTATTGCCGTATTAACCTTATAGTTACTAAACTTAGCATTTTCCATCTGGCATTGCTTTGCAGTTCTATCAAGCCGTGTTTCTCGGACATTGCCGTGTTTTGTTTTTAGTTCCTCTCTACCCTGTGGTATGCTAAACTGCTAAACATATTGAACGTGGTGAGTGACCCGCTTTGCACCCCCTTCCAGCAGCCCTTGGTCCTGCCGAATGTCTGGTTTTCCGTAAAATAACAACTTTGAACTAGGCACAGCTTAAAGGGTTCCTACCTCTCTTCCATAGGGTTGCAAAGAGTACCAGGCAGCCCTTGTCCCAGCGTTTTCTTCTCCCACTCCGGGCCCCACTCCATTTTCCATAGCATTGGCCACTCTTGATCCAGTTTAATTAGCCTTTTTGTATCAAGCCGCGGCTGCAAGATCTGAACTTGCGTTCCCTTTCTAAATGTCGCCAGGTCAGACCAGGTCGAACAACGTGTGATCCCATGATCCCTGCTATCGTTTACCATTGGCTGACTTCCTCACGAAAGCAAGCCTGGCAACTAGTCATGGCAGGCCAATTCAGCATTCAATGTCACTTGAAAAGGTGCAGTCCAGCCACTTCTCCTGTCCAAGATCCTCAGAACGTAATAGATGCTGTCTCAAACTCAACACTGTTGCGCGCCAAGAGGTCACACGAAAACACATGTAAGAACAAGCGTGGGCAGCCAAGACTGTAAGGTCGCTGTTGGATCTCTTGAGAACCTCGAGGTCGTGAGGTGTTTGATGTAGGAAGCGTGCGGGCCTTGTCAACAGTATTTGGTACAGCTTTCGCTGTCGGATGCGCATCTCGTTTGTCCTTGACTGTTTGACTGACTGTGCACCTTAAGAGTTTTGCGGCTTTGCGGTCTCAATTCTTAATCCCCGCAGGTCCAAATCACCTCCAGTTGATTGAGGTTGAATGGGGTTCGGATTCCTTCTTTCCTTAGGGCAAGCTTGTTGAGGCACCAATGCTGAAACTGTGCCTGACATTCTCCATCATTCTCCTCAATGTTTGTGCGTTTATTTTTGGTTGAAAGGCGCATCAGTCCCGCAGGGAAACTGCACCAACCCGATCGCAGGTTGATTGCATAAGGATGGTGGCTTAGGTAGGCCAAATGTTGTGCTTTGCGAACTCCCATTGGCCCCGTTCTATATGTGGCAAGAGCCTTGCGACTGACACTCGATTGCTTCCGTGCAATGGTGACTCAAGTGCTTGGAAGTGTTGGTCACGGTTGCTGACATTACATGTCGGAAGTTTTGCGGTGTATGACATGTTCTATATATCTGGCTCGTGGGTTCCATGTTCGTGGAGCTTGGGTGCCAAATGAAGGCTGGACTATGGGCCCGGGCACTTGCTGGGATGGCACCAGGCATTGAGCATGAAGATGCATGAAGGCATTGAAGGGATATGTGTTTTTGCGTCACCGTGCTGCTTGCAAGGACAGTATGGACTTGACGCGACATTTGTTCACAGCCTGAGTCCCAAAGATACTGCTTTCAGAGCTGGTGAAAAACTCTTTGGCTTCACAATGCAGGTGGTGCTGACCCTCGCATCTGAGGGAAGTGGCCGCTGTGAGTGGGGTGCTACACACTTTTGTTGGCCTCGTTTGTACGTTTCGCATTCCGTTTCGTCCAGGTGGCGGAAGATTGCTGAAGATGGCCAGGAGCTTCAGGAGGCGCGTGGCGATGTATGGCCCAAATCTCTACCTTGTGGAGCTGGAGGTTGTATCATCGACGATGCCGGCGCTCGGCAACCTTGCCATTCATGGCCTCACTTGCAACAATGAACTTGCGCCTTAATCTTAGCCTTGCCGGATATGACCTGTATAGCCAGGTGCTTGCACCGAGGCATCGAGTCTTTTGGGATGAAGGTCGCCGTTTGGCACTAGCTTGCGCCACAGATAAATGTGAAAAAAAGTTTTCTTCCTGTGTGAGCCATTGCAGGTCTTGTTTTGCCGCTCTCCTGAAATAGAAGCACTCCTGAAAGGGAAAGGAGCACAGAGCCGTACACAACTCAGCATGGTGAAAAGCAACAAGTGCAATCCAGGGGCCCTGTGTTTACTGTAAGTTTAGCCATGCTTCCGGTCTGAATTGCGAAGGTCTTTCCATGCGCTATTGGTGGAGAAAGGAGCATGAGAAAGTGAAATGAGCTGGGCGCAATTCGTGCCTTGCATCGGGAAACTGTGTGTTTCACTTACATGTATCCTTCAGTGCTTGCGGCTGGAGATTCTGACTTCTGACTGAGAAAGGGCAAGGATTCGTCGTCCGGTATTTTCAATTGCGTAGGGAAATGTTTGTCATTATGCACTGCATTTCACATCTTGTCATGAATAGGCCTTTGCGCCGCCTCGCTTTGGAACACGTATTTCGGATCGCTTTGAACTGCGGAAAATGGATTGTTTTGGAATGTACAGTAATACGCTGCAATGGTGCGTGCAATGCCTGTCTCTTACTGGTGGATTGTTTTTGAAGGTGGAGCGTGTTATTCCAGTTTCCAGGTTTCCAGCCAGCATGCGGGTTCCAGGCAGCGTCATGGTTCCCAGGTTTTCAGCCTGCGTACAGATTTCCATCGTTTCCAATGTGCACGGAAATTGCCTCGCTTGTGCAGGCGGAAAACGTCTCGCTTGTACACGTGCAAGTTGGAAGGCTGAGAAGCCTTTGAGGAGCGCGCGCCTGCACACACTCAAATGCCAGCATGACAATATGTCAGCAAAACAGCCTGACAAGGTAGGGAAAAGGTCTCATTCCCAGGTAGCGAGCCACGCGAGTGTAAAGGAAGGTGCCATTCCAACCGTGCAGACTTTTTGCGAGCCACCCGAAGGAACAAGTTTTGCAAGGTGATGCATTTTTACGTGTTCCAAAATATCCGGGCGCCGCCTTGCTCAAAGCATAGGCAGGATGCTTGTTTGCGGGAATCCCATGGACCTAGCCCAAGCTCAGGGCCAGGGATGGGCAGCTTTTCCTGTCGGAGGCCTAGGTCACGCAGGAGGTGCTATGACCAGATCTGCCAAGTCAGATCCAGCAACACTGGAGCTATTGCTATGCGATCCGCCAAGGGGGTTGCCATGGGTTGCCAAAAGGCTTGGAACCTCGCTTTGTCGATTTGTTGCTCCACGCTATTCCACGCTGTATCCAGTGCGAAGGCAAACAAGGAGGAACCCTCCGAGGCGGCAAAGAGACGAATTTAGTCTGAACTTAGCAGCATGGCAAAGCCTGATTCAGGACTTTGTTGCGCATTTGCCGGTAGTGGACTGGAATGTGCAACCACGACTCCCCTTCACGAGGCGCATCGCCCTATCACATGAATTTGCATTTTCTGTTCAAACGTGGAAGTGCTGTAACATTTAAACCAATCATATGGCAGGCACTTCATCGCAGCCCCTCTCCATGAGCAGCCTGCTGCAGTTGCGTGGCGGCAGGCACAAACATGTTGTGCCCTATCCACAAGATACAGTGCCGTTGTGGAAGTCGGGCAGGCGCTTGGCATTTCCATTGAAGACAACGGGCCACTGCATATTTTGTGTCTCGGCTTATATATATATAGCTATGGTTGAACATGTACTTACACACCCTCCTGTCCGTGTTTGCAGAAGGACTTTGGTGCTTTCATAATGCTTAGATTTGTGATCAGGTATTGGTGTTGATCAGCCCTCAAATTTCAGTTTTTGCCTTAAAGTGCAAGAATCCAGCCCCGGAACCGCTGTGCAATAGAAGTCTTTTCCGGCGCCTCCTGAACGATTCCCAACAATTAACCCGGTTGGTGTCCTTTCAGACGTGGCTGTGGGTGACGGCACTGGGGCACCCTGAGCCCCGGGGTCAAATGAACAGAACCCTGAAAAGAAGGGTGTGAAATGATATCAAACTGTTGGCACAAAGCAGCCCATTTGCGTATGCCATATCAGCATCCGAAAACATTACGGGAAAAGAACAACATAGGGCACTAGTGAGCTTGCAGCATGTCGACGAAGCCGGGACCGATGAAGGCCAACCCATCTATTGATGCCCCTGGTCACCCTGGTCCCAGATACAAAGCAGGCATGCTGGCATGCTCTAAGGCAGGCGGAATGAACGAGATGCGCGCAAGAGATGTTGCCGATCCCGTAAGTTGCTATGTTCTCGAATGTTTTGGAAGTGTTGTGCTATGGCACATGTGTTTTTTGGTCATGTTTGAATGTTTACTTTGCCTCGTCAGTCACCTTACTTAACATTGAAGAAGGTGTCAGGCTACTGGCTGCCTGCATCCATGCACATACACGCGGACACGTGCAGCCCCCTGCTGGGGAAGATTTTTTTGTTTCATTATGTTGCTGTTGAAGCCCAATATTGGCTCACCAAGCTCCTACATTCATGATACTGATGCATTGACGTGAACATCGCCAATCATTTCACTTCCACATCCATGGTTGGCACGAGAATGTGTGGAAGCTGCCAGTCGATTCAAGTTGTTGGCACTGAGGCCAGCGCCAATCACCCAATTCGAGGAGGGTGAAACAGTTGTGTGGTTGATTAAGATGAACGCATGCGACGCATGCCGTTTGTAGCCACACCTTTTTGCACTCCAGGAGCTGGGAGTCCTTCCTGCGTATGTTATTGAAGCACTTCGCAAATGCGGAATCACGGCACCGCTGCCAATTCAGTCGCAGGTGCGACAGTGTTGGTTGATGTGAAGTGAAGTGCGTTCTGTTTTCTGACAAGCTGGTCAATCCAAATCCATAAAGGGTTGTCGAGCGCTTTCGTCGAAAAGCGCTGCTCTTGGTTAGAGGACTAAGAATGACTGCACTGAGTGCTTCCGAGGCCCTGCCCTTGGTGCTGTCTGGATGTGACGTGGTTGGAATCGCACAGACAGGCAGTGGAAAGACGTTGGCAACTTGTTTGCATCTGCAGACTTTGCCCACATGTCTGGCATTTTGCCAAGGTCTGGCCAAAAGGGAAGCAGAATTTGCAACACTCAGTGTATATATAGTTATAGTGGACAGCTAGCACTTAGAATATGACCAAAAGGATTTTTCGATTTGGTCCATATGTCCCAAGGTCACTTGTCCATTTGTCCGCGGACGCGCAGATAGAATTTCCACACATCCACATAGAATGTGCGCACCACACTTAGAATATATGCAGCGTGTGTCAATCCAATCACACTTGCCTCAAGGGAGATGTGCAACCAGTAAATATGCATGAGCCTTCATCTCAGGCGTCTTTGGGTGGGAAAAGATGCTGAGGTATGTGTGGTCGGTTATTGCACTTAGAATGTATATTCTAACTGTGCTGTCGTTCATGAAAATGCCATATTCTAACTGCAACCAAATGCTCCGGCCATATTCTAAGTGCCGGCAGTGCACTATAAGTATTTAAGTTGCAAAATTTAAAAACGGTTGTGATTACATCAGGAGTTTTGTAATATTGTGATTACATCAGGAATTTTGTACTGTAATAGTACGGCACATTCTTTGACTTGCTGTGGTGCTGGCAGTTCCGGACGCAGAAAAAACAATTCGATTCCTCAATCAAACCACCGTGGAAAAGGATGCGTCCATTTGAGTTGGATAGGATTCCAGCTACCTCTGTTGAATCAACATTGGTAGCGGGGGTCCACGTAGGACCGTTGAGCTTTTCTCACAGGAGCGCCATGGCTGGTGCATCTTCCTCCAGTGATGGAGGCTACAGGATCTTTGATGGGGAGCAAGAGGGCTCCAAGGAGTACAAACGCTGGAAGGTCTGGGTGACCAATAAGCTTCTGACAATTGCTGACGAGGTTCACCGAAGGCCAAGGGGGCCTATGTGTACACTTTGCTACAGGGCAAAGCATTGGAGTGTGTTGAGCACTTGGATCCTTCTGACTACCAGAAGGAGGGAGGGGACCTTGTGTTGTTCAATTTGTTGGATGCTCGTTTTCCTGCCGAGGAAGCTTCGGACGAGATGAGCGAGATCATGACTCAGGTGTTCAATTTGAGAGCTGCTGAGGGAGAGACCCTCAAGACATGGGCCTCCCGCGTGACAGAACTATTTGTCAGATGTCAAAGGAAAACCAATGTGGCATTTCCTGAAGAGGCCAGGGGCTGGATCATCCTTCATCGATCTGGACTCAACGATGAACAAAAGGCAGTTTGCTTGGCCCGATCGCTGGGAGTGTTGAAGCTCGAGGAGATCTCCAAGGCCATGAGGTCATGCTATCCAGAGTTTGTTGCACCTCGACGCAAGTCGTTCGCTGCCGGTCTGATCGAGAACGATCGAGGTGACCTTTACACCGAGCTGGAGGAGCAGGACGACTCGTTGCTGGAAGTCGAACAGTTCCTTGCTGAACACCAATATGACGAAGAAGCTGATGCAGGAGAGGATGAGGAGCCCTACGACGAGGCAGAAGTCGCTGAAGCCTTCGCAGTGACCTGGCGAGACAAACGAAAGGAGCTGAATCGCCTGCAAAAAGAACGCAACCCTGAGCATCCGACCTTGAGAAAAAACAATCCAGATTGAAAATATCAATCTGGATTGAGAGGATATTGATCTTACCCTTTTTTCAATCCAGGATCTATCTGGATTGTTGTTTTCAATCCCCTGGGGATTGAAAAAATGAGCATCAAAAGGAAAATCATGACTATGTTGAGCAATTTTGAGATTGCTTTTTTTTCAATCCCCAAAAAGATGTGTATCTGATGTTTAGGAGAGGCACACATAGTAGCTTTTGGACACAAGCATATGTTCGACATGCTGGCAGGTTGTTGTAACATGTTGTAACCTTCCCTGTGACCCTGTGAAACTTCTCACCCTAGGCTTTGTTTTAAGCCTTGCTGTTATGACCAGGCTTTTTTTTTCAAGCCTCCACATACCTGTTGATTCTCAATTGGGATCCGAACGACTTGTGGACAGTCTTGTCGCTTTTGTGCCATGGCTGCAAGAATGGGCAAGGTGAGCCTGGAACCAACCCAGCTCTCTTGCCTGTAAGCCCAAAGGTTTTTGGATTCTGGAAGCGGCACAGCTGAGCCAAGTGGTATGCCCAATGGAATTTTGGATTGAATTTGAAGAGGCAAGGGTTTTGGGCATCATGTGCATCCTGTTGCAACCAAGCATAATGTTGAAAGCAGCTCTGGATGGAAGACAGAGCCTCTGTAGCTTCGGCTGCTGTCATAAAAAAAATTCAGCAGAAGCCACAATGCCATAGATGCCAGATTGTGCAGGCACTGAGCAAAATGGCTTTCTTGCAAGCCTCCCCCGGCGAAACACGAGTTGACGCTGCCACGACAGAGGCACCAAATGCACCACCGCTTGAACTTCCAGCAGTCCAGACATCGTTGACCACTGCTGAGGCCAATGCGAGGGAGATGCAAACAGCTCCAACAATGGCAGCTCCTGCTGACGCACCAGTTGATGCTGTCACTGCAGAGTTGCAGCAGGCCTGTGTAGAGGCAGAGCGAAGAGTTGCCAGCTTTGTGGAAGCCAATGCAGCAGCTTTGCATTCAACAATGTAGCAATTGATTTTGTACAGCAAAACTAACAGGACATTGTCATTGTCATCGTCATCATATTGTTAATTTGTTTTAATCATAAATAACATGTTGGTAGTAACTACAACTATCGACTCTCGACGGTAAATGTTTTGGATTGTTAGCTGATGCATGCTGATGTTGTAGAGGTAGAGGATGATCGGTAACGGTAACTTGACTCCAACAAAAACCGCCCCCCATCCCGGCCCATTCAACAACTCTTCCAGTATCAGTCTCCCCACCACCGCCGCCACGCCACCGATGATGTTTTTTTAAAAACTCCTCTTGAAAA